CGACTTTGTTAATTAGAGTATAAGCATGAAAGTGGATAATTCATTATTTTTATTCTGACTGCCTTATTCAAACGTTGATTTTCTGCTGTATCTATAAGTCAAGGCTTTCGACGTATCTTAGCAACACACTGTGACCTCTAATACTCGGTGTGGAGTGTGTAGGCTTTATATAGTTAACCACCTGGGCTATTCCAAAGAAAATGAATAAACCAAAGTGTAATAAAGGAAAGTCATTTGCTCAAGAAAATATTGAGAAGGCAAAAACAAATGGCCTCCGATGCACTATTTATTCCGTTAATGGGGACCAGTACACTGGCGAATGGAAAAACAATAAGAAGCATGGTTAACCATTTGCGAAAATTAGTCACGAATAAAATTATTTAAGGACAGGGTCAGTACATATGGAAAGATACCCAGCTTATCTATGAAGGACAGTGGAAATTTGGCAAGCGTTGTGGATTCGGTGTTCTCAGTGTTGTTGGGCCTGATGGTAAACATACGAAAATCTATTCTGGAGCATGGAAAAACGATAAAAGACACGTAATCTTATGAACTTAGTGAGTAACTAGATGACAGGGCTTTGGTGAAAATTGGTACTCGGACTACGAATTTTATGAAGGCGAATGGTATTCGGACAAAAGGTATGGCTGGGGACGCCAATATTACAAAGACGGTTCAATGTACGAAGGGGAATGGGTTGATGACATGCGCTGCGGCGACGGGATGCTGCGTCTGCGTAAGAGATGCATTTCAGATTATAAACTTTAGCAAACGAAAACCGGTATGAGGGCAGTTGGGTTAGTGATAAAAAGAATGGAAAAGGAAAATTTATCTTTCACAAGACAAGCCAGGTGATGGAGGGTGTTTGGGTGGACGATATCGCACGCTGCGCACAAATAATCGATCTGGGTGGACGATCGGAACCTACCTCAACGACATATCCTATCCCTGAGGTGAGTCCATATCAGAAAGCCTCTAGTTTTAGATTAAATATTTTGTCATAAATCTATTATGGTCTTTAGCGTTCAGTCAGTAGGTTGTGAACCTTCCTTAGTGACAATGGGGTTAGCTGTGCACTCGCCTTAAACTGATATACAAATGTTGTTCTTAATGACACTCTTTACTTTTTTGGAGAGAACTATAACTCTGGGCGATGTGTCCTTATGTCTTTCGAACACCAGTGCGTCATTCTTCCATTCTGTCCCAATAAGATTATATTCAGTTTTTTTAGAATCGAATCGAAGTGAGCAATTTAAAATGGACTGATGCACGTTTTGTCGGATACTATCAAGCAATGTCTTCTAGGACCATTAAACATGTGGCACATCCCTCGGAAAAGACCATAGTTTTGAAAAATCTTCACTCACAGTTAAGACTTCTCATTAACCTACATCCGTCACATAACTCTTGACGTAGTCAGACCGATGCTGGGCGCGCTTGAATTGCCCAACCACAATTATCCGTCGACATAGCCGATTAGTAGAAAAGTAAATTTGCCAAGATTTTTGAGTAAGTTAATGAAAACTCAGGCGACTGTGATAAGGTCTATGCTATCGGGTTTTTCGTAAGCATGAAGGTAGACCTGGAGACCAACCTAACGTCAACGCGCTCACCTGCTAAGTCCTTCTTTCTAGAAAACATGAGCATTTCGTGCTTGGCCAAAAACGGTAAATCAAGTTCCTTTTCGGAAAAAAACAGAAAGAACTCACTTCTAGGTCAGGCTTGTTACGGGGCAGTTGGTGCGTGCCCATGAGACTGCGATTTGACGCATGACTTTATGACATTGGTATTAACTATGCAGACTGTTGCCCTTGTCCATCCTCATACACTTTGTCCTGCTTGCTTTGTTATGGCAGCGACTGCAGCATGGTTCTCCAAACGTTCTAAAAACGTCAGAGGTCATTTTCGGCGGATCCTTTTTGTCGAATGGGCACAAAACAATACTTATGCGTACCATTGTACACGTTTCCATTGACTGTAATTTCCCAGAAATCCCTAAAAAGTACGGTGGTAGTTTCAGATCGTAGCAACACGCGCGTACGTTTTTTTTAAAATGACAATCTACGGGAGCTGACTGCCTCTTTCTTACCAAGATACCGACATGGGTGTAAAACTTATCTCCAAAAACCTGGTTTTTATCAAGAGTGACTTTACTTCCATACGTACCTCCAAGCCCAAAATAAGTTCAGTTTTACCAAGTTAAATTACACAGTGAGCTCAGAATAATGGGCACATCTAATTGCTTCAAACCATGAATATCGGTTTTTAAAAGGAAGATTGCACACCTTCTCAAGTTATCGCTTCAACCAAAGCCGACATGTAAAGCACAGTACCCCATGATGTCTTGTATAAATGCGGGTACAACATGCCATTTTTCGAGGTTTGAATTACAAGGAGTGACTGCGTGTCGTACAAAAAATTATACTTAATCATGTCGGGCGTTTAGTATATTATTTCTAACTACAATGAGTTTTGAGCATGAGGGGTTGTGGTTCGAGCTAACGCAGCTACTCAGGCTGTCGCTTAACAGGGAAACTAGGATGGAGCCTGTTTTATTGGTTTCCTTACTCAGTTCATAATGCCTTTTTGTCCCTTTTAAACCAGTTGAAGCTGGAGGATTCCAGGCTCGTCCTTCGGAATGCACATGACAGAAGTCTGGATGCTCTACGTTCAAAGTATGGTCAGAACCTCTGCTAGAAAATTCAAAAAATGTGAAAAGTGTAAGAAACATTTATTGTTATCCATGAAAACGTGTATTTTGCATACAGGATACTTGATGTAGTAACGGTAAAAAAATATATACGCATATTTTCAGGTCGCAAAACTGGCTTTCGCAGTTAATGTTCCTTTAAACACGCATAAGTGTATACGAGACACCATGATTGAGACAGGAAAAGGAAAAAAGCACTACGGCAATGAATACTTCAACCGAACAAAAATTAACACCGAAGGCTAAAATGGAAGTTCGCTTTTTTACAAGGTGTATATGGTACTGTGAAAATTTATTCTTATTGGTCACTCAAAATCTGAAACTTTTAGCGGTATAGTGGCATCGTGTGCCTCCGGAAATCTGATGTAGTACTTCGAAGCCCGAAGGAACTTCACGTTCAAAAGATGACCTAAAATGTACAAAATAACATGCATTTATTACGCACATTCGGACTCAAGTAGGGGTTCGGCGATACACTTAAAGGAAGATAAATAAAAACAGCTATTTTCGTCAATATTAGTCAGATTTAAGGAAATAAAAGTCTGACCATTAGTATTGTAGCGTCAGGGTAGAACAGAATGCCCATATTTAAAAGAAAATTCGAAATAGTTCACTTTAAATCTAAGTATAGTTACTAGACTACACGAGTGGGGCAGGTGAATTATTTGCAAAGAAGTATATTCAACGAAGGGTTGATATTCTGATCAAATTCCTATAATATTTACAAATACACCACGGTACAAATATATGACATACGCATGAACACCAAAATGCTCCTCTCCTTAAGGTATAACACAAAAGGTAACGCAGAAGAGATGAGGGTATGGTAAATTTATCACAGAATCCAATGTCCCATTTAACGAATTACAGCTCGATGTTTTTTAGGAACAAAATCAACAAGAGATCTTCATCCCAAAGCTTTCAGTCAAATTTGGGGATTTTAAATCCTGAACGTGATGTTTCTTTCCCTGCGAAGTGGAGATGAGAGTACGTGATAGGTTGAGAAAGAGCACGCGGGTCAGTAAGACTTACTGTCAAAGTAGTTGGCGTGTACAGCTTGGTACACGTTCCCCGCAACCTCGGGATCGGCGCATTTCAGATAAACCAAACCCTGTAGTTAAAAAAGCAAATAAATTGTAACTATAAGTGCCTTACTAAACAAACTAAACTAAACAAACTAAATATATGTCCTCGTCGACATATTCGCACATTAACATATCAGTTAACTGAGCGGCTCACACAGTGGTTGGGGCATGGAAATAGAGAGTGAAGTCGACGACTCAACGCATCTATTTATTATAAACTAGCGCGGAAGCCCGGCTTCGCCTTGGGCTTCCTTACATGTTGCTGTGCCTTATGTAGACAAACTTTATATGAGAACCTCTTAAAATAATTATGTTCAGTACAGTTTTATTAGGGAAATATAGGTAAATACCTCTGAACTCCCTCTTTGTACA